AACCCCGGAAAGAGTAGATACAGTGAAAAAAGGTCCCACTTGTGAACGAGAAAAGAAGAAAAGGACTCCACCAGAAAAACGAGGCCAAAAGTGGAAGGAATTTGGAGAAAGCTTGCCTTTAGGTTCAGCTATTTCAGAAAGTTTAATAGGTACTGAAGGTAAGAAGTTTTATAAATGTGATATATGTTGTAAACATTTCAATAAAATCTCCCACCTTATAAACCACCGGAGAATCCACACTGGGGAGAAACCTCATAAATGTAAGGAGTGTGGGAAAGGGTTTATCCAGCGCTCAAGCCTTCTAATGCATTTACGGAACCATTCTGGGGAGAAACCTTACAAATGTAATGAGTGTGGGAAAGCATTCTCACAAAGCGCTTACCTTCTAAACCACCAGAGAATCCACACTGGGGAGAAGCCCTACAAATGCAAGGAGTGTGGAAAGGGCTTCTACAGACACTCAGGCCTTATTATCCATCAAAGGCGCCATTCAGGGGAGAGACCTTATAAGTGTAATGAGTGTGGGAAGGTGTTCTCTCAGAATGCTTACCTCATTGACCATCAGCGGCTCCACAAAGGGGAAGAGCCTTATAAATGTAACAAGTGTCAGAAAGCTTTCATTCTGAAAAAGAGCCTCATTCTGCACCAGAGAATCCATTCTGGGGAGAAACCTTATAAATGTGATGAATGTGGGAAAACCTTTGCTCAGACCACTTACCTCATTGACCATCAGCGTCTCCACAGCGCAGAGAACCCTTACAAGTGTAAAGAATGTGGGAAGGTTTTCATCCGAAGTAAAAGCCTCCTCTTACACCAGAGAGTCCACACAGAAAAGAAGACCTTTGGTTGTAAAAAATGTGGCAAGACTTTCAGTTCCAAGTCCAGCCTCATTGACCATAAGCGGCTGCACAGCAGGGAGAAGCCATATAAGTGCACTGAGTGTGGGAAAGCCTTCACACAGAGCGCTTACCTTTTTGACCATCAGAGACTCCACAATGGAGAGAAGCCCTACGAATGTAATGAGTGTGGGAAGGTTTTTATTCTGAAGAAGAGCCTCATTCTACATCAGAGGTTCCACACCGGAGAGAATCTCTATGAGTGTAAAGACTGTGGCAAGGTCTTTGGCTCTAACAGAAACCTGATTGACCATGAGCGACTGCACAATGGGGAGAAGCCGTATGAGTGTCGAGAGTGTGGGAAAACCTTTATTATGAGCAAAAGTTTCATGGTCCATCAGAAACTCCATACACAGGAGAAAGCCTACAAATGTGAGGATTGTGGGAAGGCTTTCAGTTATAATTCGAGCCTGCTCGTGCATCGGAGAATCCACACTGGAGAAAAGCCCTTTGAATGTAGTGAGTGTGGAAGAGCTTTCAGTTCAAACAGAAACCTCATTGAACACAAGAGAATCCACAGTGGTGAGAAGCCCTATGAGTGTAATGAGTGCGGCAAATGCTTCATTCTGAAGAAGAGCCTCATTGGCCATCAGAGGATTCACACGAGGGAAAAATCTTACAAATGCAATGACTGTGGGAAAGTCTTCAGTTACCGCTCAAACCTTATAGCCCATCAGAGAATCCACACTGGCGAGAAGCCATATGCCTGTAATGAGTGTGGGAAGGGCTTTACTTACAACAGAAACCTTATTGAACATCAAAGAATTCACAGTGGGGAGAAAACTTATGAGTGCCATATATGTAGAAAAGTCCTTACCTCTAGTAGAAATCTTATGGTACATCAAAGAATTCACACTGGAGAGAAACCATACAAATGTAATGAGTGTGGAAAAGACTTTAGTCAGAACAAAAACCTTGTTGTCCATCAGAGAATGCACACTGGGGAAAAACCTTATGAGTGTGAGAAGTGTAGGAAATCTTTTACTTCTAAGAGGAATTTAGTTGGCCACCAGAGAATCCACACAGGGGAGAAGCCCTATGGGTGTAACGATTGTAGTAAAGTTTTTAGGCAAAGAAAAAACCTTACTGTACATCAAAAAATTCATACAGATGGAAAACCCTGTGAATGTGATGAATCTGAAAAAGAATTCTCTCAGACTTCAAACCTTCATCTTCAACAAAAGATCCATGCATGCCATGGAGGAATTCTCTTGGCTACAGAATACCAATGAGTCCAAGGTAGAGATTCAGAAAATCTAAGAATAGGATCTCTGCTTGCTTAAGTAACTGTTCCCCTTAGAGGGGGCAAAAATCACAGTTGACCCTTTCATTGATAAGAGAGTTTCATATGAAAGAAAATTAATCTAGATTTTCAAGTCTACAGAGATATCTAAATTCTAATGAATGGATATTTTGTTCTAGACCATTGTTTATGACCCTGGAAAGAGATGTTGGAGCAGTTGAAGACTGAGGAAACCAGATTTATGTCTTCTAAGCTATAACAAAGTAATGGATTGCAAAAATGTCTTTGTGTTAAGAAGTGGACATTGCTTCTGCAAACATGTACATTGTACACATTAAGGATAGCATCACTGCTACAGAAAGTTTATATAGGCAGCAGGATCCAGAGCTGCCAGAGGTAGCTGGTGAGCTAGAGTCTGCTATTTGAGAAGAGCACTGGATTTGGAATCAGAAGATGGAGGTTTGGGTCCTGGTTCTTTCCTTCACCAGCTGTGATATTGTGAAGGAAGCCTCTAAACCTCAGTTTTTGTTTTGTTGTCAGATGTTGATAGAATGCCTACCTCACAGGGTTGTTGTGAGGATTAAGTGACAGGATCTTTGTGAAAGTACTTTGTGAAATCATTCGTCAATAAAGTTGGGTTAAAGGGGTATGATTGAAGTCTAGACCATAGCATAAGTCAGTATTTATTAAGTCAATATTAGAATGTGGGGGATTCTATTAATCTCAAAGATAACTCTGAAGAGGGGACCAGCAGTTAGCATAATGGCTATGTCACTGGACTCCCATGTAGTCAACTGTGGTTCGAGTCCCGGACCCAGTGGTTTAAACTCACACTGGGCACATGTGCGTGTGTGCCCAAGATCCCGAGAGGAGAATGGAGAAGGGATTGTGATGTGGCCATCCCCCCGGGGGGTGATTTCTCGCTTTCTGTCTGTCTCTGTCTTTCTGGCAAGCACACGTGCCCTATAGCAAAACAAACAACAACAAAAAACACTGAAGAAGAAATATGGTAATTAGCTAACTTTGGAATTTAATACTCTAAAAAGACTTCTAAAAACAACAGCATTAAAATGTCTAAGAGTGTTACTAGATAATATGCATAGTTTGTTTTGTTTTTTATGGAAAGATACTGAGTTATGAGGGGAAATTAGAACAGTCATGAACATTGATACCAAAGAATATAATTTATTTTCCAACCTTTGAATTCGAAACTCAATAGAAACAGTGTCAGAATGGAAGGATTTTGCTATGTGGTTTTCTTTGTTCATAAGGAAAAAGCCCTGACCCCAGTAGGTGGACTGTGGATCCCCTCCACAGTCATTCTCAAGTATAACCAACAGTCCATCATTCCTGTCATGTAATAGCTTCTTACTCATGAAATAACATTCTGGACCAGCACTGAATTTTCTAAACAACTTTCACAGAGACCCAGCCCCTTCAAGTTCTGATTATGCCAGTGCAGAGTCCACTTGTGGGCAGTCAGTGCCCATTACTCTCTGTGAACCAGCCTTCCATTCAACCTGTGCCGTCCTGTGTATTTGCAGATTTAATTCAGCCTGGATTCTTTTTTTTTTTTGGAGAGAGATTTTCACTGTAGGGCACGTGCGCTCGCCAGACAGACAGAGAGAGACATAGAGACAGAAAGCGAGAAATCACCCCCCAGGGGGGATGGTCACGCCGCAATCCCTTCTCCTCCATTCTCCTCTCGGGATCTTGGGCACGCACGCACACGCGCCCGGCGTGAGTTTTAAGCCACCGGGTCCGGGACACGAACCGCGGTCGACTACGTGGGAGTCCAGCGACATAGCCATTACGCTAACTGCTGGTTCTCAATTCAGCCTGGATTCTTGAGTTGATGGTTTCATACTGTAATTTTTTTTTTGGAGAGATTTTTGCTATAGGGCGCGTGCAGTTGCTGGAAAGACAGAGAGGGACAGAGAGACAGAAAGTGAGAAATCACCTCCTAGGGGGGATGGCCATGCCACAGTCCCTTCATTTCCATTCTCCTCTTGTCTTGGGCACGCACGCACACGCACCTGGCGTGAGTTTAAGCCACTGGGTCCGGGCACGAGGCCGTGATTGACTCCCTGGGAGTCCAGCAACATAGCCATTATGCCAACGGCTGGTCTCTCATATTGTAATTTTCAAAAAACCACCAACAACAAAAACCTAGTTCTGCAGCTGGACTATAAATACCTGAATGTCAGGATTGTGTTTTCTAATATCAATGAATAATATCAAATTGATGTATTGATTGTAATAAACATTATTACTTTGGCCCCAGAGCTCTCTGAGGGGTGCTTCCTCATTAGAATTAAAGGTACCCAAAGGCTAAAACTGGAAGGGGCCCAAGCCACGATGGGGCTAAGAGTCAGGTTTGCTACTTTCTTTTTTATTTTTTGGAGAGGTTTTTGCTACAGGGCGCGTGCGCTTGTCAGAGGAACAGAGAAAGACAGAAAGCGAGAAATCACCCCCCAGGGGGGATGGCATGGCCAATTCCTTCTCCATTCTCGTCTCGCGATCTTGGGCACGCACGCACATGCGTCTGGCATGAGTATAAGCCACCGGGTCCGGGACTTGAACCATGGTAGACTATGTGGGAGTTCAGTGACATAGCCATTATGCTAACTGCTGGTCCCAGGTTTGCTACTTTCTTTGGACAAATCCCTTAATTTCTTGGAATTTTGACATTTTCATTTGTTAAACAGGAGAAAGAATACCTCACAAAATTGTGAAGTAATAAATATAAAAATGCATCACATTCACCTGTGCTCTAGGAGTATTAGCCCAGATAATATAACTACAGAAACGTGTGCTTTACCAGTAGCGAAAGCTGAATTTTAACTCTTAAGCAACAAAATGTAACATTGCCAAGACAGCCCACATAGTGTAAACCTCGTGATTTAATAAGCCAAATGTTGAACCCCAATTTAATCATGTTGCTTAAACCTAATTGCCAGTTTACAGGAAATACAAGAGGCAGAGAAACAAGATAAAAGACCATGGCAAACAGACAAATCCATAAGTAAGTGTTGTGTAAGAAGACTTCCCTAGATTCTTCACAAAGTTATGATGATGAAAAATGGGGGAGTGATAATTGTTGAAGCTGATTGTACTGAGAGTTCATTATACTAGTCTTTGCTTTTGGTGTGTATGAAATTTTCTATGGTGAAAGGTATAAAAAAATGAATGTAGAGGCTTAAAAGATACTGACAAGTTATAAGATAGAGCCAGATACAGACTCACACAAATTTCCTCTTGCTTTTTGACAGAATTGCAAAAACAGTTCAATGAAAAAGGGCTATTCTTCACAAATGATACTGGATCCATTAGATATCCAATAGGCAAACAAACTTCAGGACCTAGGACTAAATGAAGAATGATTAATGACATCAAAGCTTCACAAAAGGCAAAAAATAATAAATTCGAGCTCATCATAATTGAAAAAATAGCTCTACAAATTTCTCCCTTTAAAGAGAATGATAAGAGTTTATAGACTGGGAATACATGACATTTGCAAGTCACGTATTCAATAAAGGATTTATATCTAGACTACATAAAGAACTCAAAGCAGGAAAAAAATCAATTAGAAAATGGGCAAAAGACATGAACAGACATTTCATCAAAGTTTAACAAATAAATGAGAAGGTACTTGACATTAGCCTTTAGAGCAATGCAAGTTTAAATCATGGGTGTGTGTGTATCAGAGTAGCTAAAACAGTTGGCGAGGATGCTAAAACACTGGATCTCACATTGCTGGAAATGTAAAATGGTACAACCACTCTGGAAAATAGTTTGGCGGTTTTTCTTACAAAACCAAACATGTACTTGCATGTGCCTTGGTAAGTGCACTCCTGAGCATTTATCTCAGAAAAACAATAACTTATATTCACCTAAAAACATGAATGGTCATAGCCACTTAATAGTTAGAACCCTGGGGCAACCCATATATCTGGCACAGGTGTTTAAAACAAGCTATCTGTCTAAATAATGGTCTGCTTAATACCCTCTGACAAGGGGAGGACTGGTTAATGGCCACAACTCAAATTAATTTCAAGGGTGTTAATGCTGAGTGAAAATACTGATCTCAAATGGCAATATGCTGTGTAATTCCAAGAATGTAACAGTTCAAAACGACAGAGACAGAACCGTGGAGGTGATGATTGCTCGTTGCCAGGGGTTAGAGACCGTGGGAGGTAGAGAAGAAAAACAGGTAGCACCAGGGAATTCTTGGTGGTGATAGAACAGCTGGGTATCTTGATTGTGGTTATGCAAATCTATATGGTAAAATGACGTAGAAGTGATCACACACACTAACATTGTCAACCTCCTGGTTTTTATATGTATGTAAGAGTCCTGTGACTCTGTTGTTCAAAATAAAAAGTACAAACAGACCTAAAGAGCCATAGGTTAAAGACTGGGTGAAACTCACTTGGAAAAGAAAGTTATGAAATATGGACAGCTGGGGGAACAGGAACATGACCGGATATTAGACTGGGGAATTACTGTTCATTTTCTTGTGGTGATGGTGTTGGTTTGGAGAATATTTTAATCCTTAAGGAAAGCATGTTGAAGTATTGGGGATGAAGTGTTTTCATGTTTTAACATTAAAAAAAAAAAAAGTTTGGGTGACGAGGGCCAGAACAGCAAAACGTTAACTATTGAGGCCAGATGGAGGACCTGGGTATTCATCGTGCCATTATTTCAACTTTCCTGTACCGTTTGATATTTTCAAAATAAAACGTTTGGGGAGATTATCAGGGCTGTTCACTCCTCCGTAGCTGCAGGCCCCGGGGTGC